TTTCTTTCCCACTGGTGCTACGGTCTGGCCGAGTCTAACTCTCTGACAGACATGCCTTCTCGTACAGCTCAATCATGTCAGAAATTCTGACACATTTGGGTCTCGTAGGGCAGAATGCCGAGGAAAATTTCGGTAAAAAAAAAAGAGAAAGTAGCAAAGTCCGTTTGAGGAGATGAATGGGAGGAGCGACAAGTAGCGCACCAGCCTTGAATTTCAGGGGCTCCGCTTGGGGGGGAGGCGTCGGAGGGTTAAGCGTGTGGGGAAGATGGGGAACGTGCCTACATGCCTCGATGCGTACGAGGTACATACATACCTATCTAGAGTAGCGAGTACGGTGAGTACAGTAGCCTGAGACTCTATGCTAAAGGGGAGAAAAGTGTGAACAGGATTATCGCAGCGTTGGCAAGGTGTATTCCGAGAGATAGGAAGTAATTCTGGTGCAAACGTATAGGGTGGATGGGGTTCACGGACCAGAGTTTCCCTCTGCCAGCTAATGCGGTACGAGTGATAAACCATATACTGACTGACCGCGTACCCAGCCAACTAGGACAGCCTCGCCTTCAGCACCTCAGAAGCATCCCTCAGGACGACCGCTGCCTGCGAAATCACCACCCTGTCGCCCACAACCTGTCTATACAGAATCTTCCTTCCCCCATCCTCTCGCCACATCTCCGTCCGCACCACATCGCCGGGATACACAGGCTTGCTCAGCCTCAACTTCACGCTCTGGAACCTCTTGAAGTCGCCGCCGGCAAACGTGTCAATGATGTGCAGCACACCCATTCCCACGGTACACGTACCCGTCAGGATCGGCCCCGGAAAGCCGCCTGCTTTGGCAACGGCCGGGTCGATGTGTAGGGGGTTCAAATCTCCCGACGCGGCGCGGTACAGGGCTCCTTGCTCCGGCGAGGTTTGGTATTCCACCACAGCGTCCGGCTTGCGATCTGTGGGCGTTGGGTGTGTGGCTGTGGCTGCACCGCGAGGTATGGGTTTCGTCGAAGCCCCAGCCCCGGGGACTTTCATGACGAAGGATGTCCACTCGCTGTAGCAGATCTCCACGCCCGTGGCTGCGTCGACGGTAGTGATGCCCACAGCGACGGTGACGCCAGTCCTTCGATCCACAATATCCACCACGCGTGCGGTAGTGTGTAGTGTCGCTTGCTTTGGAAACGTCCCCTTCATCTCGAGATAGTGCTCGCCGTGGACGTGATTATGCGCCTGGAAGTTCGGGAGGAATTCCATCATCCCGTACGTGACTTCACGCATGACTGAGATGACGGGGAGAGTGGCGAATGTCGGCACGGCCGCAAAGTCGGGATGTGCTTCAAAGCATCGCGACAAATCTGTGCCCTTGACACCCAGGGCGATGTTGTAGGTAATGATGTTGTTGGGAGTGTAGCTGCTCGTCACACTCCATGAGCGTTTCTTGATAGCTTCGACGTCAATAGTCGTCGCCATGGCTGCTCAATGACCGTGACAACAAGGCTGGCTTCCGTCTGAGAACCAGACCTTTTGTACACCCAGGAACGACTGTGGTTGAACAACGCGGTTATGTATACCCGAGAACGGTCTACCGAGGTCAGCTCGGACCGTAGCAAATAGATGGTCACACAGCTAGAACGGGGTCAATGCAGGTCGCCTGTTACAGAATCGATGTCAAGAAAACTATGTCGTTGATTTCTTGTAGGTACTGACGAGAGAGGTCACGTTCATCCGGGGTAGAGCTCAACTCACGCAAGACAATATACCGGGAATAAAACTCCACAGCTTTTTCCTCCACGCCCAGAGCCTTACCGACAAGACACTTTGTGGGGGATGCGGGGTCTTGCCACAACAAGATAGCCTTGCTTCCGAGGTCCATAGCACAGAAGGCCCGTTCTCCTTGAGGGCTCAAGATCCCTCAAAGTGTTAGAAAATGATGCATGGCGTGTAGGTGAAAGTGCCAGAACCATTTGTACAGTCCTCGTCGACGTGCCGGTCGCATTTGTTTGCTTTCCCCCTCTCCTAGCTGCGTGATCGTGAAGAACTCACCTCCACCATGACCGACACACCCCCAAACTACCAGACCGTCCTCTCAACCAGGCTGTCACCGGGGACACTGCTGCTGGAATACAACCAACCCAAGATCTCCAACGCCTTCACCCTCCAGCAATACCACGACTTGGCCGACGCTCTTCGCTGGACACGCAATGTCCCCGAAATCAGGGTGATCGTCCTCACCGGCAAAGGGAAGCACTACTGCGCTGGGAAAGTGCTGCTCCCACCGGGCCAAGCAGGACCGACAATCGAGCAGGAAATCGAGGCAGGTCGCAAACTCGGGGACGAGCTACAGGGCCACCCGAAAGTGCTCATCGCTGCGGTCCACGGCGCAGCCATCGGATGGGGGTGCACACAGCTGTGGAATTTCGATCTGGTCTATGCTTGGGAGAAGGCCGCCGTGTTCCAGACACCCTTTATGAGTCTGGGTTTCGTCCCGGAAGGGGCGTCGAGTTGGAGTTTCCCCAAGGTCATGGGCAAACAGCGGGCCAACGCGCTGCTGTTGGCGTCCGAGAAGCTCAATGCGCGGGAGATGTACGACGCGGGGATGGTGACCAAGGTCATTGGGGGTGACACGGTCGACGCGTTCCGAGACGAGGTCTTCAAGATTGCAAAGAGAATAGGCACCTATAGCGCCGAGAGTCTAAAAATGGCTAAGGCGCAGGTGAATCGGCCTACCGTGTTGGCAGAGCAGCGAGAGGCGGGAATGTGGGAAGCGGTGGATCTCAAAGTGAGGTTGAACAGTGATGAGGCCAAGGCGGCGATGAAGGCTTTCATGGACAAGAGCAAGCCAAAGCTGTAACCAGTCTAATGTCAATGGATGTAATAATGCAAGGAGATGGCAGTTTTTGTGCTGCAGGTGTGTCAACAGGGGACACATGCGGGGCTGCTGGTGGTGATTTGAGACGAGTCTTGCTGACATAATTACAATACGGTGGAGTAATAGACCCTCGGTCCCGCACTCCGAAGGCCTCGAAATTTAATTTTCTCAAAATTCTCAATTGCGGTGGCGGACAAGATTTGGTGCGGCCAGTATCTTTCCGCCGATTTTACTTCCTTCCCCCTCTTTCAACAGACAAACAGAAGTACTCCAAGGACGGTCAACATGAGCAAACATAAACTCGAAGATGAGGCCGCTCAATTGGCCAAGCAAGAACGCAAGAGGAGGAAGAGAGACCGCAAGGAAGCCCTGCGTTTACAAGATATCACACCCTCATCGACTGAGGCTACAGCCAACTCAACCCCGGTCCCAGAGGCCAAGGAGGATACCACCGCCGATGTCAACGGTTCTACTGTCCCCAAGCCTGTATCAGCCATTGGAAACCTCCGACAAGCTGAAGTCGATAATTTCTTAAAGACACAATCCGTGCAGATTCTCGATCCACAGAATACAGATGTACAACCTATCCTCGCCTTCTCGCAACTCCCTCAAGAGTTGGCCTCTCAATTCTCGGACGTCTTCTCCTCCTTCCAAAAGCCCTCGTCTATCCAGTCCGCCGCTTGGCCCTTCCTCCTAGCCGGTCGAGACGTGGTCGGCGTGGCAGAGACAGGCAGTGGAAAGACCCTGGCATTCGGCCTGCCTCTCGTTGTCCGCCTGACCTCGCAAGAGAAAAAGAAGGGTATCAGAGCCGTCATTGTGGCACCGACACGGGAACTTGCGATCCAAGTGTTTGAACAGTTAGACAGGCTCAGCAAAACCACTCAGAAGCTCAAGGCCGCATGCATATACGGAGGGACCAACAAGGACGAGCAGCGTCGCAGTTTGAAAGGTGCAAATATCGTCGTGGCAACTCCAGGTCGACTAAAGGACTTCATGTCCGATGGCACGGTCGACGTCTCCAAGACGCGGTATCTGGTCCTCGACGAAGCAGACCGGATGCTCGACAAGGGCTTCGAAGACGACATCAAACAGATCATTTCCCAAATGCCGTCCTCGAAGAAGCGACAGACGGCCATGTTCACCGCCACGTGGCCGAAATCGATCCGCGAGCTGGCGGCGACGTTCATGCAGCAACCCGTCAAAATCACCATCGGGCGCGAGGACACCGATGACTCTGGAGAATTGAGAGCCAACAACCGGATCGTGCAGAAAGTCGAGGTCATTGACGGCATGGAGAAGCAGCAGCGTCTATTGCAGCTGTTGAAGCAGCACACGGCAGGTCCAAAGCGCAATGACCGCATCCTGGTCTTCTGCTTGTACAAGAAGGAGGCTCTCCGGATCGAGAACTTCATCCGGTCGCGCGGGTTCAACGTCGCGGGAATCCACGGAGACATGTCGCAGTCTGCGCGTATCAACAGCTTGGAATCGTTCAAGTCGGGCGCCACGACGCTCCTCGTGGCCACAGACGTGGCAGCTCGGGGCCTAGACATCCCCGAGGTGAAGCTCGTCATCAACGTCACCTTCCCCCTAACCGCAGAAGACTACGTCCACCGCATCGGCCGCACGGGCCGCGCCGGCAAGGACGGCCTCGCGATCACATTCTTCACCGAACAGGACAAGGGCCTCGCCGGCGCGCTGATCAACGTTTTGAAAGCTGCCAAGCAGGACGTGCCCGAAAATCTGTTGAGGTTCGGCACCACGGTGAAGAAGAAGGTCCACAGCGAGTACGGCGCCTTTTATCGTGAGGCAGAGGAAGGGGAGAAGACGACCTCGACCAAAATCACCTTTGACGATTGATATATAAGATGTGTCCCTAAAAAAATCTTTGTCATGCGGTTATCTCGTAGCTTTGCCTGTCGATTTTGTTGGAGATGGTTTCAAAAAGTTCGGAATCTTTGCAGCAAGGCGTTGTGGGACGACGGATTCGAGGAGCTCAAAGAGGAATTGGTGCTCAGTGATGAGACTAGAAAATCATTTGATCAATCAGACAGATGGGACTGGTTAGACATGTGGACGAGACTAGATGATAAACCTCCCTAGAAACGAAATGCGATTGCAGGAGAGAAAAGGAAAGAGCAAAGACTCACATGGTAGAACCAAGAACCACGGCGCTGCTGGTCCAGATCCCTAGAAACTGCAGATCCAGCGACCCCTTGCCAGCGTTCGTGGCCGTAAAGAAAGCACCCACCTTCAGGCCCAGCATCACAAGCAGCGTGACGGCGATGCTCGCCTTCGCGGGCACCGCTTCCTTGAGCAGCATTGCGCCGGCCCGTCTCTTCTGCCCGGACTCGTCCTCGCGTTGCGTAACCCAGATCCTCAAAAACCACAAGCTCCACAGGATCCTCAGGGCCATGTTCACCATGTTCGCGCCCACGAGGCCGACGCTCCCCAAATTCCACAGTCTCAACATGGCCCATGCGGCGACCCCGTAGACTCCCGTGAAGACAAGCATCCAGAGACTCTGGCTCCGCAGCTGTGCGGGAGAAGCCACGCTCGTGACGAACGCGTCGAGGATCCCATTGACCGCCATGAGTGGGATGTAGTAGCAGTAGGTGGACAGGAGGACAACTGTCGAGGGAGTGCGCCATTGCGGGGAGAGGACGAAGGGGATAACGGTTGGAAGGATTTCAGGGGCAAGGCTGATCAGGGGCAGAGAGAAGAGGAGGTAGACGTGGAGAGTCGTGTAGAGGTAGGATAGGCCGCGGCGGGCATTGTCGTTCGCCTGCGGGAGGCTCTTGTTTTGCGATGCCGAAGATGCCAGTTCTTTGTCACTGCTGGGCGGACATGGGGAGAGAAGCCGTCCGAAAGTATTGCGACTACTCTCCTCCACAGGCTGAAAGACCAGGCGAGCGAGCAGGCCGCCGTAGTTGGAGGCCAGAGCAAAGGCACCTTGGTCTGCGAGCGTGGAAAAGAAACTCATTACCAGGCGTCGCCTTGGGTGAGGAGCAACTTGAAGATCGACTGCATGTACATGGTTGCCGCTAGGGAGAGGACCGTCTTGTGGAAGAGTTTGAAGTAGTAGGTCTGGTCTGAGGAGGGCGAATGTATTCGCTTCAGTATGAGGCTGAAATGTTCGGCTCTCAACAGCTTTATCGTTGGGAGGAAGTACAGAGCCAAGATGGTGATGGCGAATGCTGCCTGTCCCACGGCAAAGGGTAAAATGGACGGAGCGACGCCCTCCTGATGTCCAACGACCGCGAAAATACAAGCTGCAAGACATCTTGCCATTGCGGCACAGGTCTCTGCCCGCGCCCTGTCCCTGTAGAGAGCTTTCTGCTGGATGACAACAAAGGCTGGTTCGGCAAAGAGTTCGACCAGCGTCGCCACTGTGTAGATTCGGAATGCAATCTCAAAGTAGGGACTGTCGAGGACTTCGTCCGATGCGCTGCGTAGATATGAGAGACCGAATAATGTGGAAATACCCAGTCCCAAGAGTACGGCCAGATGGGAGAGGTTGACAACAGTTTGTGTCTCGATCCCCACCGCATTTTGCTCTTGCTTTTCAGATGAATTGGCATTCGATGACTGTGCAGAGACGCGCGGCCGTTGTAAAGCCACACGAAGACTCTCTCGTGCAAAGTATAGACTGGTCACGGAGACAAGTTCGAGTTGGACGGCGATGCCCAACAACGATGGAGATAGAAAGCGAAGAAGGAACTGGTTGCCGAAGAATGTGAACGCTCTGGAGGCAACTTGGATCAAGATGAGCAAGAGGGCACCATTTCCAGGCTGGCGAGATGCTTCAACTCTTGACATGTCGAAGTGTTGAGATGGAATAAATCCTGGTGGTTGTGAAGAGGCCCTGAGGGTTCGTCGTCAGAGGAGGTGATCCTCAAGGAAAAGCCGCTCCTAGAGGACCACTGTCAACTTGAATTGGTGAGCATGTTCACCGATGCCACTCAAGGATAGCACGTCGACAACCTTCTCCGCGAGAGTCAGCCTGGTTGAGGATATGTTGAAGGATCTCGGGAGAAACGTGGCCTTTATAGTAATGCTCCGCTCAGCATGAATGGGGCAATTTCTACTCGTAAAAGACCCAGTAGGAAAATGGCTCTATGACCTTTACCATACCACTAGATCAAGTGATGCGTCTTGCTTGTACTGTACATTAAATGTAGAGGCTACTTCGAGATTGACGCTGTCACGGCGACAGCACGAAGTCTATCGGCAGTAGTCTATGACTTTGCCATCCCATGAACGCGCTGCAACGCACGGCGCATTTCGATATGGGCAGACACCTGATCAAGCTCACATTTCAATGCCTGTCGATCTACATCAGAGGGGTCAGTTCCCTTATCGACTCCACGACCTTGAAACCTGTTGTTCTCCTGTTGATGCTCCTTTGCGCCATTGCCCATGTCCTGCCACATTTATGCCTGGTTGGATGAGCTTGGTCCATCAAGAAGCCTGATACAGCAATGATGATACATGTGCAACTTTTTCAGCCTAACCACTCTCATACCTCGTCCACGTCCATCTTCTCCACGACCACCAGGCTATCCGAGTCACTTCCACTGCCAATCTCATGCACAGTAACATAGCGTCCAATCTCCTCCTTTGTGATGACCTTTTCATTCAACACCGCAGTCGTGCCTCGTGCGAACTTGTAGTTGCGTTCCTTCTTTACCCGCTCGTTTGGTTTGATGTAGTTTCGCAACAGCTGCGACGGTTTGCCTTTCTCAATCACACAAACATCGACGTTGCTCCCTGATCCCAGATCATTGAAGATACCGGCCAAAATTGCGTCTGAGCAGATCTTGATGGCCTCCTCTCTGTTGCAGTTTCTCTTCCACGTTGATTCGAAGACTGCCATGGCCGCAAGCGAACCGGAGCCCATAGTCACGTAGGGGAGCTTGTCTGTTGATCCGTGGGCATGTACTGTGAATAATCCCACACCTGTGGGATCAACACCCGCAACAACCAGGTAGGCACCAATATGGCCTTGGTATCTGAACAGGTGCTGCTTCAGCATTGTCATCACGGTGACCACGCGGGGCGTGCGGCCGGTGGAGAGGGAATGTAGTTCGAGGTTGGAGGAGATGAGAGCGGTGGTGAACTCGGTGTCTGCTGCGGTGCCGGCACCAGCGCACCAGATATTGGGAGAGATATAATGCAGTTTTTCACAATTCTGCGCGAGGTCAGAAATGGTTATCGACTTCGCTAGCTATAGTTAGGGGTGTACTGACCTTGTCTGCGACTATAGGTCCGCTTGTGGCTCTTGTGTCTGCGGCGATCTACTCAGCTAGTCAGGTGTGCTCAATTCTCACGAGCAGTAATTGAAATTAGATTTGCTCACGTACCACCACACCATTGTCGAATATGCACCCAACGATAGTTGTCCCTGTACTAGTTGCCTTTGGTAACGGTACACCCCGTGCATGGAGGGCTGCGTTGCGATTGTAGTTGCTGAAGTCGAAGCCGGGCATTCTTGCGGCGGAGGCGCAGAGCCGTTATTGGGGATAGTAACTGCGAAAAGACGACCGAGTCCAGATAAATTGAATACGCAGGGATCGATGCAGATCGAAGGACTTGATGATCGGGCTGTCAAAACAGAGAGATGGTGTTTACCGGGGAGGAGAAGCTGGAAGAGACAAAACACTGTTGGTCAAGTAGCGGATGTGAAGGCAGCTTTCGTGATGCGCAATACTCCAGAGGACGCGGCACCGCGAGGACTCGCTGCTTAAAGCGGACGGTTCACACTAGCCCAATTTAGCCAGACATCAGCCTTACATTCTTCTAGTAGCATCAAGATAAGTTTCCTCTCCTCTCTACCTAGGTGATTATCTGTACTCAAGTTTGCATTGTGGACTGCGTTGACGCCTGTGGGTTGTTTTAGATACAGCTGGACTCGGCAGTGAGGATATAGGCAGAGAATCCATCCAACAGACATCAGGAGCCGCTGAAGTCCACCTTTGTCCCCCTCTTCAGGCCTTGGGCTCCACAAGCTCCTGCTCCTGTACTCCCCTGGCCTTCTCAGTGCTGGGAGCCCGTTGGCGAAGTTCATTCTCCTCGTCTTGTTGCGCAGCCTTCTCCATCTCCTCCTTCTCAGCTTCGGTGGCACCAAAGTAGTGGATTGCAACCTGCTCGCCAAATTGGGCATTGATATCTTCCTGGAGTACGTATCAATACAAAGTCAGACACCCAAAGGAATCATGATCGAACATACCAAGCTTCGGCCCTTGGTCTCAGGGCACATGAAGTAGACGAAGACAAGGTGGAAAGCCGTAGGGATAATCATGACCAAGAAGAATTTCCAGCCGATATTATTGAGCGCGATCGGACCCGCAACAAGCAGGATGATGTCTGCCAGGTAGAGACCACACATACCGACAGCCATACCCTGGCTACGAATATGCGTCGGGAATATTTCAGACCTTCCATTCCATGTCAGTAACCAGGATTGACTCCACATTGGTCGACAGAGGAAGACTTACACATAGAGGAATTGGCTGGCGTCCATGAAAGTCGACCAGAATGGTGTAATGAACTACAAATGAGAGGTCAGTGAGAAAAGGAGCTCAAAAGGCAAATGCATGGTGCGTAATTTCGATACATGGATGTTGCTCATTGAGGGCCAAAAACTCACCAAGAATATGAAGAAGACTCCAAATCCCAACGCCACGTGGTTGTCGGTGCCTAAGTAGGTCGCTTGGATGGCAATTTCACAGATCAAACTGACGAGGATACCACTCAATCCTATGATCATGAATCTCCGTCGGCCGAATCTTTCCACGAAAAAGGCACAGAAGATGTTCCCAGGGAACTATAAGTATGCGTTAGTGTGTGAGAACAGTAGAACTGGCGCAGATCTGGGAGACTTACGGTTGACAAGACCCACAAGGCACTGAGTAGTAGTGGCATATAACCCGTCATGCCGAGCTGAGTGTAGAGAATGACTCCATAGTTCGCGATGATCAAGACTCCCGTGAACTGGTTGTTCCACATGAGTAAAAAGGCCACGAGAGCCCGTCTCCGGTTGGGCGCTGTCTTGAACACTTCCCACTTGGAAGTGGTGGCTTTGATCTGATGGTCCAACTCAACCTGCTTCTTCATCTGATAGTACTCCTTGCGGGCAAGAGAGTCATGAGGGTCACCCTTCGACCTGTGCAGGCGCTTGATTACTTCGTGGGCCTCGTCGTACCGCTTGTGCATCATGAGCCAACGAGGGCTGTATGGCAGCCACGGAGAGCCGACGAGAAGGAGGAGGGCGGGAACCATCTGGAATGCGATAGGGAATCGCCATGGGAATGATGACTTTGAACCGCTTGCCGATACAAAGTATACCCCAAAGCCGATAAACCCAGAAAGGGTGTAGCCCATGGCGAACATAACTCCCTATGGATCGTCAGTAACGGCAGAATGAACCACGAGACTGTTTGAAAGCGCTTACATGCATCGACACCATGAAGCCGCGACTTTCTGGTGTTGACACTTCTGCCTGGTACATGGGAATAGCCGTCACCAAAGCACCGATCTATAAGATGGTTAACATGCAAGCAGGATCATCGAGCCCCCACAAGGTCGTCGGGGAATCCCTGGAGACTTACACCAAGGCCGTTGATGACACGACCGACCATGAACATGGCATTGTTTACAGAGCCTGCGCAAATAGCTGCACCGATAACGAGGATGACAGCTGCCACTTGGATGGTGTGCTTGCGACTATACTTGTCGGCGAAGTAGGCACAGGCTGCCGCGCCAATAGCAGACCCAGCGGAGTTCACACCTGGACAACCGGGATGTCAGCACGTCTTCTTGTCTCTACATGCGAGTTGGAGGAACTCACCATTGAAAGCACCGATATATTCTGTGGTTCGACCATAGCCTGGTTCGCCTGCGGGAGCAAGTTTCAGAGACTCGTAGAAGCTCGGCTGTCCTATCGTAGAGCTGAATGCGTGTCAGTCTGTTGTTTTGATACAGTACGAAGTGAGCATGTCTTACCCTATAATGGCCATTCCATAGGAGCACGCCGTCGAACCCAGCGCGACGAAGATGACAACTGCCAGATTAAAGGCATTGGGAATGAGTTTCCCCATTATGAGACAAAACGTCTATTAAACGTATATACCCAACTTTGAGGCTGTGAGACTCTTCTGCAAATACAGAGGCGCCTTCTGAACAGAAGATAGAAAGAAATGGAGAACCGCCTGACACGATTAGACTGCGTGCATGAGCTTTATATCTCGACCTCGGGCGTGCTGCTGGAAAACTCCGGATTGCAGGGACAAGCCACGAGGTACTCGGTACATGATCGAGTGGTGTCAACTGTTCTGCGAGTTAAGAGAAACAAAGGCAGACGGTTTGTCACAAAACACTAGGCATCCAGTCCTGATAGAGAGCAGTCCAGTAATTGATTGGATCTCCTAACATGCTTTCCTGGTCAGACTTTGAGATGTGGCCAAGGCCTAGACCTGCGGAAGCAGCTATGTCAGGTCAGTAGAATCGTCTAAACTCAAGACGGAAGGGTCGCGACAAAGCCAGAAGCGAGAACCAGGTTCATGGACGCGATAGTGATTGGCTCATGGCCTGATGGTTCAAAGTCCAGCCTGCGGACTTTCGCCGGCGGAAGTGTGGAGGGTAGAGGATGAGGTCTCGAATACCCCAGGTTTGTGGGGAACCCACCGAGGTCAAAGTCTCCAAACGGTTAGGATTCTCGTAACTGGCTCCTTGGACTCTGATGATGGCTGAACAAGACGACTCTGATAGTGTCTTAGCTAGACTGGCATGACTGGGTAAAAGGGGGGTAATTTGACGAG